GGAGAAGTTAAAAAGCCAATAACTCAAAGAAAACAGGAGACTCTTACAAAAACATCCCATGGCCTTGGTACACGTGAGCTGGAAAAGCACCCCACGTTCACAAAAGCACCTGCCAGTTTGATTCCAGCCTGAGTCCAGGATGCGTTTCACAGGGCGAAAGTCAACTCTGAAAAGTACAAAGGTCAGCTGAGGATGCTGGAGAGTTGACACACAGCAAGGTCACGGGGAAGCGGGGACTTCAGCGTTCAAAAGAACTGCCAGTAAGACTGTTATTAAAACCCTCTATCTTCCCTTCCCCCTCCTGCTTTCTCAAAGATGCACTGAGCACCCTGTGGGCTGACCACGTGGTGAGGGTAAAGACAGGTGTCCACGTGGCTAAGATGGAGCCGGGTGCAGGCTGGTGTGTCTACGTAAAGCACTTGCACTTGGGAGCTGGCTCTGGGTGACATCCAGGACTTCACATATTGTGTGTCTGATTCTGGATTATTCAGTGCTCTCTAAATGTGCCAGGCGCTTCCCTTGGAGAGTATGCTTTCTCTTTTCTGCAGGGTCCTGTTCTTCCATACCGTTCTGGTTCTCGATGGACCCATGGAGATCATCTCCAAGTACCAGTTCCAAGGCAGCTTAGCATAGTCCTGGCCCATGGTGCTCGAGTTTGTGGGAAAACCTAGCGTGGAGGTTTCTGAAACTCAGAAAAGAACGTTACTATCCTGGCTGTGGATCCTCGTTTCTTGTGACCTCAGAGAACTAAAGGCTGTGGGGGTTTGAGGGTTACATGGGTGCAGTCCTGGGGGTGCCTTAGTTTGTGTTGTCCTGGAATCAGCCATGGCTGTGGTGTTTGGTTTCAGTGTGATCCCAAGAAGCAAGAGTGAGGGAGGAGGAATGGAACAGAGCAGGACAGAAGCCATGTGTGCTGTATTAGCTGCGGAGTTGGACCCCCCCCCCAACACGCTGCCACAGCAACTCCCGCCATTAACTCCTTGGCAGTGGTCCTGAGGGCTTTGTGCTGGCTCTCCTGTAACAACTGCCCATGTGGGCCTGGGCCTCAGGGCTGCAGGGAGATCCTGCTGGTGTCCGCTACAGATGGTCGGGACCTGCACAAAGCCTGGCCCGAGACTAGTGGCATCATGGGGCCTGGCAGTATGTGTGGTTCTCCTGCCCACCTTCTGCTCTGCCAGCCTCTCATAGGTCTCAGTTACTTCTTTTCTCTCTGCCACTTCTCAACAGTGTTACATCAGGGAGCCTGTCAGGGTGGATCAGGCAGGCACACAGGTTCAGGGCTTGAACACAGTGAGGTAATCTGTAGTGGAGCACAGAGGGGCGCACACGAGGCCGTGTGCTTGGCGGTCACAGCCTTCGTCATGCAGAAGTGGAGGGGGCGGTAGTTTATGACAAACCCTGGTTTTTCCCGGTGGGACACGGGGCAGCCACTGCAAGATTTTCAACAGGAGGGACGGGGTTAGATTTGGATTTTTGAAATAGTTCACTCTGGAGTCAAGTTGGAGGCTGTGTTAGTGGCGATCCTAGTAGTAAAAGTTAAAAGTGAGTTTAAACATGAAAGCAGCCTCCCCCTGCGAGAGCAACCATGTCTGGTGTCAGTGGCCCAGGTTGGCAGAGTGCAGAGCTGTGACATTGAAATGCCAGGATCCATCTTCCCCCAGTGGCCCTCCAGGCATCAGCCTGGGCTTTCACTTAGCCTCTTACTGTGGCTGGCACTTACTTCTGTTCCAGACAATGCCCAGTAATGTCCACGGGCTATCCATTGTTTATTAGGGAAGACAGATGCTCTTGGAATCCCTAGGCCCCATTTCCCATCCCCACTGGCCAGGCCCAGGTCCTGTCACTGCTCAGGATGGTTGCAGCAGCTTTGCAGTTCCTGCAGAGGAGGTGGACTTGCCTTGGATCAGGGGCAGGAATTGGAATCCCAGCAGCATATACCCCAGAGCAGCCAGGAAGGAGGCACAGGTAGGAGCTGCTGTAATAGAGTGGGAGACGATGCCAGTCTTCTCCACCTCGGCCAGCTCAGATCTCTTTATTGCTTTGTGCTCTAACATTGCTTCCAGACCTTCACTTGCTCCTATCCACTACTCTCGTATACCAAACCCGGTTCTGCAGTGTTGCTAACGCTTGGTGCTTGAAGCAGAAGCCGGATGCCAGTCCTGTTGTGCAGTGTGTAGGGCCTCTCTGGGCACTTCTCATTAACCCCGTCCAGTGCTGGGGGTGAGCCTGTCTTCTGTTGACTCACGTTGTTAACCGGGTTAAGCTTATGGTAAACTCGAATTCTCAGGTCTTTTTAATGTGAGCATATCTATTCCTGGCACAGCCCCCACATATTGAATTGCATCCCATGCTGAATTCATTTGAATTGCATCCCACGGTGAGGCATCATTTTCAAAGCAAAAAATTTTGTGAGATGGCGTTGTACCTTTTTATAGTATCCACTATATCCTGCTATAGTTATTTATGTGTGTATCACCCAATATCTAGGCTACAAAAAGATTTCTACAACTCAGGCAATTTGTAGACCTTTGGAAATGTTTTTTTGTTGTAGCCACTAAAAAATAAAATAAAGCAAAAACTGCTGTGAGGCAGAATGCATATCAAGCTCCTAAAATGTAGGCTCTGCTAGCAACCTTGGAGACCACTCTGTGTGCTCCGTTCTGTGGCTTTCCAGGGGTCACATGCTACAAGGAAATATCTGTCCCCAACTTGAGGCCTTGGAGAGCAGTTGCAGTCTCATTCATTTTTCTTTTATTTGCATCTTGACATACGTAGTGTTGGTACTGATTATGTGACTAAAGAGCTTTTCCAGTCAGTTAAGAACTTCTAGCTGAGCCTAGCTCAGGAGGTAGAGTTCTTGCCCAGCGAGTATATCCAGGCACCTGGATTAGAGGATGATATGAACCACATTCATTTGTAAGACATAAGAAATGAGAACGTTTGTCTTCTTAACTCTGCCTCGTTTGCCATGTGTTCTCCCTGTCCGGCTGGAGGGAGCTTTCCTTAAGGACTCGCCCTTCTCTGGGTTGCCTTTTATACATTGATTGGTGTGTTCACGTATTTGGCTGGCTGGAGGCTGGCTCCAGTCTTAGCTTGTTTATCTCCGATGTCTTGCATTCCTTTGGTTTCTGCCTAACTTCCCTGATAACCCCACATTCCAGGCTTTCCCATCCCCCCTTTTCTGCCCTCCTGTTCTGCATCCCTCTGTTCCTCGCTCCCTGCTATATCTGATAAAGGGTTATGGGGGATTGCTCTTTGCGCTCCTGTCCTGGGCTGGGAAGAAGTGATTCTTATCAGGGTTATTTCAGACTTTGTGACTATGATCCTAAGAAAGAAAACCCCCTTCCCTTTCTTCCATCTGTTTACTTCTCTCTCAGGAAATTTCATAGATAGCATTTATTCTGTGCTCTTCATTACCCCTAAGGTGGATGTCAAGGCAAGTTCAGCTCTGGCTCATCCCTGTGGGGGAGGGTCTGTGCTGAGGTGGACAGAAGTATGTTTGAGTGTTTTTTGAGCCCATTCTGTTCCTCTCCCCTAGCAGGGCAGCAACACACATGGTAGGCATTAAGTCAGTCTAAGGGGTCCTCTGTGGCTCTCTGCGCCTCACAGAGGTACACATGGGAGCCTGCAGGTTTCGTGGTTTCCCTTAGTTTCGCTTAGTTTCCCTACTGTTTTAGATCAGGTGTGCACAATAGGATTCCTCCCCTTTTCTCCCTCCTGCTTCCCCGGCTTCTCATCAAGTTTCCTTGTTCCATTTTTACACATGTATATAACATATTTTGACTGTATTTGCCTTCCCTCCCCAGCTCCTGTTTGTCTACTCCTTCCTACTCATCCCTTCTCCCAAACCAGACAAGAAATGCTTTATCTTCCTAGCTGGGTGCTGGTGTGCACACCTGTAATCCTAACTATCCAAGAGGATGAGACCTCAGGATTTGGTTCAGACCCATCTTGGGCAGGAAATTCCATGCAACTCTTATCTCCAATGAATCATCAGAAAGCCTGAAATGGAGCTGTGGTTCAAAATGGTAGATCACAGCCTTGAGCACAAAAGCTCAGGGACAGCATCCAGGCTCAAGTGCAAGCTCCAAGACTGGTACAAAAAAACAGGTTCAACTTCCTGCACCTTTTTTTCTTCAAATTAATTTACTTTATTGTTATTGAGGTGATGTCCAGGGGGTTACGGTTACATGAGTCAGGTAATGATACATATCCTCTCATATAATAATGTCTTTTGTTCCCTTCTCTCCCAGTCCCTCACTCCTGTCTCTGCTCATGAGTTGTATAGTTCACTTTCATCAGTGTCCAGGGAATTCCACTGCTGCACTTTTTTACCCTTTTTCCCTTGAGTTCTGTAGCCTACCCCCAACTCTTCCGAAGATATAACTTGAATACACTGTACATAAGGAAGACAGAGGCATCAAAAAATAAAAACGAAAAGCTAAAAAATGCACTCCATATCTTGGAATTCATTTTGACATGTGTATTATTTCACACACATGTGAACTTCCTGGTACTCTTCTTGTTAAAAGTGGATGTGACTTGTTGGGTGTTTCATCATGTGTCTTGCACATGCACACATTTTACTTTAGTCAGATTGATGGCACCTGCTGCTCAGCCTTTTTGTCTCCAGCTGGGCTGGGGGGCCCATGAGGACTCGCTCTGTCCTTTTCACGGTTTATGGTCTCCATGCATCGCAAAGACTGAGTTGAGTAAGTGAATGCCCTCTTGGGCTCCTGGCATCTTCCCTGGTGTGTCATTATCCATGCTGGTCTGGTCTGCGAGGCCTCGTGACAACAGGACTAGGGACTGTGTCTGATTTGCCCAGCAGCATGTTCCCAGGGCCCCGTGGCGACTGGACAGGGTGCAGTGGACATGCTGTGTACGGAGTAAAGAGCCAGCGGTGCTGCGAGGTGGATGGGTGGCCTGCGTGGCACTGCCTTTCGGGTTGGCACACTCACTCTACACTGTGGTTTACACATCTTCACATGTTTCCCCAGGCAACGAGTCAGACGTTGAACTAGAAAAGAAGTGTAAGGAAGATGATCGAGAGAAAGCTCCGAAAAGACCTCGGGCCCAGAAAACCGAGAAGATCCAGAAGACCGCCTTGGGGAAGGAGGCCGCACAGCTCTCGGGAGCAAAGAAACCCATTATCAGTGTGGTTTTAACTGCCCACGAAGCCATTCCAGGTGACCGCTGCAGGGGGAGTGACGGCCTCTGGCGCCTCACAGGGAAGTCTGAGTCAGCGTTCTGCCTCAAAGCCGAGGACTGGGGGGCTCTCAGTCACCTATGCATTGGGGTAGTAAGTAACCTTACCCTCAGGAGCTGCTGTGGGTCATGGGCCTGGGGAGGCAGGCAGGGCTGCAGTGACCGCGCCCACATTGTTGCTCAAGAGCTGCTCCTGAGCCGCCCTTTCCGTGCCCTTTGCTGCATGTCCACTGCCCAGAGGTGGCATCTTCCAGGAGCTCTGCCCACCCCAGACCATGAAAACTCTGCCTGGCTTCTTTTTACACTTTCCATAGGGTTCACTGAACATTTTATAATTCTAGAAATTTCAATCTTTCTTTTCTGTCAGATAACCAGCAGATGTATTATACTTAAAAAAAAAATCTCTGGTTGGGACAGCCTAGATAAAAAGCAGTTTTTGAGAGTAGATTTCAAAGTTTGATTTTTTTCTAATTAGAATTATATTTGTCATAATTAAAATATCTAGTTTAGGGTTTAAGAACAGACACTTCAAGTCTATCAGCTGGATGCTTCAAACTTACACCTGTAATCCTAACTACTCAGAAGGCTGAGATCTAAAGGATCATTGGTTGAGATCAGCTTGGGCAGAAAACTTCTTAAGAGTTATATCCAGAATAACCAGCAAAAGTCTGGGGTAAAGGCATGCCTGAAGTGGTGGAGTGCTAGTCAAGTCAGCAAGTAAAGTCAAGCACAAAAAGTCAAGCTCCTGTACAGCCAAAATAACACAAACTCAAACAAACAGATTCTACTTTTAAGCATTTATTTTTGATGATAATAGTATTTAAAGTGAAAGTCCCAGATACCTTTCCTCTTTTACATTTCACTATAGAGTGGGGTGATCAGTAGGCAGCTAGAACTTTCTGGAAAGTCACTTTTTTTGGCTCCAGTCTACTTCAGAGAAGTAAGTAGTATTCTGTAAATTAAAAATCCCCAAAGGAGAATTTCCTGTTCTTAGTGATTGCTAAAGAAAATTTCCAAAAATTTTCTCAAAAATTAATAGTGGTATTTTGAGATTTCTCTGTGAATGGAAATATAATTACTTTCCTCTACTATTCCAGAAACAAGGGTAGATTGCACCCTCCACTATAAAACACACACACGCACACACGCACGTGCGCGCACGCACACACACACACACACACACACACACATTCTCAGGGGATGCCCATTGCTGTAAAAGGTTGTGGATCATGTCACACCATAGAACTACAGAAGTAACGCTGACTTTGGAGGTGTTTTACTAGGGTGTATATAGAGACACAGAGGTGTCAGCACCAGGACACATTTGGGCCTGGACCCAGGTGACTCACAAGTCTTTCTTTATATGGTGTGTTCTTCCTCTCTAGGCTGCTTTGATGCAACTGGGCATTTTCCTAAAGTTTAATACGTGTGGCTGCATGTAAAGCCTTACAAATAATGTGTGTTTCCTAAATGCATCACGCAAATTTACCTCCAGGGAATATGTACACGGATTATTACAAAGCTTGCCCCAGGCACGTGCATTCATGTCCACACGCACACGTGTTAAATGTGTCAGCTGAAGGAACACTGGTGTGCCACAGAGGAATTATATGGTAAAACACTCCACAGGCACCGCCACCTCCGTTGGGATGGGGCCGGGGCCAGGGCCTCTCGGTGAACAGTACACTGTATGTCAATCTCAGGTGCTACCAAGATCATTCCAGTGGAGGCTGGGCCTCCCGAGACTGGGGCAGCAAATCCTGAGACCAGCGCGGCTGATCTGGTGCCAAGGAGAGGGTACCAGGAGTACGCCATTCAGCAGACCCCGTACGAACAACCAATGAAGTCGAGCAGGTGAGCTGTCCTACTGTGCGGCGCTCCAGCCAGGGCTGAGGGTGGATGACCCACAGAGCAGAAGGAGGACCCGCGTGCTTGTTTGTGTGGACTCTGCCGTGGGCTTGTTTGTGAAGAATCGACCTGTTCCAAATGCCTGTCAGTAACACCGCACTGGGGAGGCAGATGGACTTTTGAAAGTGTGCATTGCTTGGCTTAATGAAGGAGAGCATTTTGCTTTTTTATTTTTGGTGGTTGTTGTGATTATAGTGCTCCACTACTTGAATCACAGCTCCACTTCTGGCTTTTTTGTAGTTAATCTGAGCCATTAGTGCCCAGCTTAGTTTTTAATTTTATTTTTATAAAATCAACAAATCATTTGACAACTAGAAAGGAATTTCAGTTAAAAGTATAAGTTAACAATATTTTGAGTAATATTACACATAGAATTAAGTGTAATTACTGATGTATTAAAATTGGCATTGTATAAAATTGTATAAATTGTATAAAAATGGCATTTTACCATAGACTATTTATGTACACATTGCAGGCTTATAGTTATTAGACTATAAGAGTCATAGAATTTTAAAAATTAGTAGAATATATTAGTTGCATAAGGAATGTATATGTGACATTTCTACATATTCTTGCCATGTACCTTGGTTACATTCAGCCCCTCATCTCTCTCATTTATTTATTTATTGTAAAGGTGATGTACAGAGGTTATAGTAACCTAGGCCAGGTAATGAGTGCATTCCTTTGAACAGTGCCATCTCTTTCCTCATTTTCTCCTAGCTTTTTACTTCCTGAATCCCTCCCCTGCAAGTTGTATAGTTCATTTTCTTTTTCTCCTCCTCCTTCTAAACTCCTCCTCCTCTTCTTGTTCTTGTTGTTCTCGTTCTTCTTCTCGTTCCTCTTTCTCTTCTTCCTCTTCTTCTTCCTCCTCTTCCTCCTCCTCCCCCTTCCCCTTCCCCTTCTCCTCCTCCTCCTCCTCCTCCTCCTTCTTCTTTTTTGTTGGTCATGGGGCTTGAACTCAGGGCCTGGGTGCTGTCCCTGACCTCTTTTGCTCAGGGCCATCACTCTGCCACTTAGAACCACAGCATTACTTCTGGGTTTTGAGTGGTTTATTGGAGAATAAGAGTCTCATGGACTTTCCTGCCTTGGCTAGCTTTGAAGCATGATCCTCAACTCTCATCTTCCTGAGTAGCTGGGATTACAGACATGAGCCATCGGTGTCCAGCTTATATAGTTCATTTTCAACATAGTGTCTCATGAGTATCATTGCTGAGTTAGTTCTCCCTTTGTCCCACTATTTCTGTGCTTCCCCATACCCTCCCCCAAACAGATAAACTTATACAAGACAGAAGGTACAGAAATAAAAAGAAACAGTGACAAAAGGAGAACAACAAAACAACAAAAACCCCCACAAAAAGTAAAATAAAAACCTCTTGTTTCCATTTCTTGGAGCTTGTTTCCATAAGCTTCATTTTATATGATCCTATGCACATGGCTATTGAGCCTTTGTGATGCGTGCCTCAATTTCATTGTTTTATTTTCACACATGAATGGGGAAAGTACTTTACCTTCTTTGTTCCCTGTCTCCTGAACAGGTACCCACCCCTGAACAGGACCTGTCATTCATTTTTAAAATATACATTTTGTTTTCTCCTGGATGCACACATGCATGTTTTGTTCTTTAATCAGATGGATGCCTTTCCTTTCCTTTCCCATTCTCCCCCTGCTGTTTAGCAGCTTAAAGTGAGTTTCACTTGCCATCTTTCTATGTAGATGGACTGTGATTGGATATTGCTCACATGCTAACGTTGTCTGTCCTATATCCCATTCTCTAATCTCCTCAGCCTGTTCCACAGTTGCAGGCATGATCTCTCTCTGTATAGATGTATATGATCAAGTAGGTATTTTGGTATGTGTTAATCCTTTAGGTCTAACTTCCAGATATGGAGAAAACATGTGACTCCTTTGTCTTCCTAAATGGGCCTTGTAATTTAAGCAAACCATGAAAGGTGTAAACATGGCCTGATTTCTGTGTTGCACATATTATAATAAAAAAATCACTATTCTGTCCTTTCAAAAGTAACACAAGCATGGTTTAGGAAGTTCAGACTTCCCATATGATGAAAATTATTATAACTACTACTGATAGTTTGGTTTTTATACCTGTAGACATTTTCATTATATATGAACAAAAATTACTTTCCTTTTGTTTTTTTCCAAGCACTAATTACCAAATATACCACTTGCATGTTTGTATCTTGAAACCTTTTAATTTGAGAGTATATTAAACTGTCTGTGTAATTATTATGTGAGTTTATAAATGACTAGTTATTTTCATTTTACTTTAGTTGTTTTTCAGATAGGGTCTTGGGGTTGTCCTGGACTGTGATTGGACAGTGATCCTCCTGTTTATGACTCCTACATAGGTGATAGGCGCACACCAATATACCTACCTTGTTGGTTGAGATGGGATTCAGGATTTTTTTTTTAGGTTGGCCTTGAACTGCAATCCTGTGATCTCTCTCTCTTGTGTAGGTCGGATTGCTGGCATCATTCATTTTACTCAGCCCCAAATAGCGAATTCTTATTATGAAAGGCAGTGCAGTGCTCAATGATTTTGAACATCTATCCTCCCATTCTTCAAGATTTCTTGAGGGGAAGATCACTAGAGTGACACTGTTTGATAAAGGCAGCTTTTGGCGACATTAGAAGCCTCCTTCCCTCTCACATGGATGAGCTGACGCTGTGGTGAAGTAGTTTTCTCTCCACCTCCTCAGCGTGTCCTTCCTCGCTCTCCTGTGTCCCTGGGGAAGTCTGTCAGCAAATGATCAGCAGGGATCTGAGAACGTTGCTCCCAGCTGGGAGCAACTAGTGGGTTTGCTGTGTTTTTCCAGGAGAGGGGAGATGGGGTATTCTGAGTAGACCATTGAGTGGGTTGGTCCTACACTCTAGTCCTGTATTTGGCTTGACAAACTGGGCACTGGTAACATGACAGAGTCCAGCTGACCCAGCCCCTGCCCAATGAATGCACACTTCTGTACCCATGCAAGGTATTTAAATCCTTTGACCATCATTACATGGGCAAAAGATTGTCTAGTAAGAACACACCACCAACTCTGTGCACATTTCAGTTCTGTGGTTGTGCCACGAGGTTTGCCTCATTGACTCGTGGTCTCAGTCTTTTGCTCTTGAAAATGTGAACAAGTGAATTTATCGATGAAGTCATAAATACACTTATTCCTTTCATGCAGCTATAATAGGATTAAGTCTCATGATCATTCTCTGTGGAGGCTCGGGTTGCTCTGTAGACCTTTGCTAATTACCTTCATGGCATTTCAAGTCTGCTGGGGTGGGATTCAGCTCATCTAGTTACAGGTGCGTATACTCACAATCTAATCAATGAATCTAGACAGTATTCCCATTGTCATGCATTCTGTTAGAATTTATTAAATTATACAAAGACTTTTTTGCATGAAGATTTTGTCTTGTAAAATTCAGATTAGGGCTTTTAGGTTATATGTATTTTTTTTCTTATATCAAGTACCATAAAGACTAACATACAATTTTTTGGAAGTTTGCGAAGCTAAGGAAAAAATAATTTGCAATCCCGTTATCCAGAGACTGTTAATATTTTGTAACATGTTTCCTTTTGTTCTTTTTTTGCACTATATTCATTATATAAAATTGAGTTTGTATTTTATCAAGGATTTTGTAGCTCACTTTGCAAACTTAGTCACATAACATTTCCATACCTTTTGCAGACTATCACCTCTAGGAGGTAGTGTAATGTACTTAGTTCTTGGAATGGAAGCCATCTTTAAAAATACTCCTAAGTGATACCTTTAAGGGCCTCACTGTACTGTTCAAACACCAGGGGCCTTGATAGGCCAGCCCTGCTCCTCAGAGCTTGGCACCCCTGTGCTCTCTGCTTCTCCCCCTCCAGCCACCTGTGCCAGCGGGTGGGGCCCTTTCCCTGCTTTGATCTCTCCTGGATGCCTTTCTCCTCCTTACTTAGCTCAGTGCTGCTCATTCTTCATGTCCTGTCCACTGGGAGGCCTGGAGAAGGCTATTCTGCCCTCAACAAGGCTCTTAGCACATCCTGCCTTCTCCTTCCCAGCTGGGGCCTGATGGTCTTCATCCTCTGCCCTTTGTGAACTTCAGAGAGCAAGAGTTGAATGTGCTACTGATCTCTTTTGTACCCCAGTGGCTAGAACGCTTTTCTGGATAAACGAAGTAACCGAGTGAGTGAATGAATGGGTGAATAAACAAATTAATGTGTAAACAAGGTATTGCTTATGTTGGGACCTTCAAGCAGCTTGCTGTACTTAAAACTAATATGAAAACTGAGCTATGAACACCTTCCTTTGAGCTTCCTGTCTTTCTTTCATGTAGATCCCCAGTGAGGGGAGAGTACTACAGTATGGTGTGTGCCCTTGTAAAGTTTTTTCTAGAGGGCAGTGACAAGAGTGGCTCTCTCATTGAGGAGCTTGGAGGAAAGTAATGTAGAAAGAGACGGCATGGACATAGCTGCTCTGTTCTAGTGTTTACGGTCGTTGGTAGTGGCTTGAGGGTAACGTCAAATGCAGGCTGTTTAACATTGTTAGCAGATTCATTACCCCCTGCCAGAGGCGGTGCACTCAGGCTCCGCTAGATATTTGTCTAAGAATCCAAAAACACAGAGCAAAGGGTTCTCCTAGGACCATTTAGATCTTGCGGTGGAGGAGGACATCCTGTGATTTGCTTATTTAATTAATGTTATGAATCCAGGGCTTCTTTCTTCCTGTTCTTTATACCAATAAAATCTGTCACCTTCTGGATATCTTTGTCATTTGGGAAAGATCCAAATTACTTTCCTTAAATAAGCCTTGGGCTTAGCATGCGGTCATACTACTGACTCCAATTTGAATATTTTAATTACATCATGTGAGTTGTACCCTCTGGTATTTATGGACTGCAAGCCATTAAATTTTTTTAATTTAAGGAGATAGTTGTATAGCTGGCCTCAGAAATGTAGACTTCACAGCTGTGGTTAGTGCACCTGAGTGGTGCCTAATTATTAGCACTCCATTATTATTGATATGCCACAGGTCCTTCACGTGAACTCGCTGTCCAGACAGAGCAGTTCTGGGCAGCAAGGAAGTCTCTTTTGCTTCTTTGGTCTCCTCTGCTGATTCCTGGCCTGGGTGTGTGCTCCTATACTTAGGTGACAGTCATTTGTTGATTTTAGAAACAAGATGCCATTTCAACAGCAACGGAAGCTCCTTCATCCAGGGAACCTTCTCTGCATACGTGGTCACGCTGGAGAGACGTTGCTGTGCTTCTGTGAGTTCAGGCATTCAGAAGATGAGGAGAGAGTAGTTTACTTAGGTGTGAATCATTTACTAATTTAATGTTGGGGAGATCCTCAGTTTTCATAGCTGAAGATGGGTAGATAATAGGTTGGGATTTTAGTTGGCATAGGGTACCGATACCTGTTAGTTGTTTCTGTTATTACCACTCTCTTAGTCTCATAAGACAGTTTCTTATGGAGACTGTCTTATTGATCACGCACCCTTTCTCATTGTAAGTGTCGGGCTCTTTGAGATAGGCTACATTCTTGTTCTCCAGAAGCTCACGTTTGCAGTGCACTGGCAGGTGTTAATCAATGGCAGTTGTTTATTGAAACAGTGAATGAAGTTGGTTCATAGATGGCAGTGCTGTAACGTCACCATGCTGGAGAAGGAGGATGGAGAGTCGGTCGTCTGATCTATTGCAGATCTATGGGAAAGAGGCAGGTGGTGAAGTCAGCGGCGGCTCCCGAGCTGCTGTGGTGTCCCTCCGCCTATCATGCACCTGCACACCTGCACTGCTGCTGGCGAGACTTTCGCATCCCCACCAAGCTCCTGCTAATCAGGGGAAGGCACCTTCTCATTGCTAGTGAGCTCCAGGTCTTCTTTGCCAGTCATTCTGCTTCTCTTCTCCTGGGAAGAAGTGAGCTGTGGAGCAAGGCAGGGTCTTTCCTAATGGGTGGCACCCACAGGGAAACTTGGAAAAAGGGAAGAGGGTGCCTCAACAGTTGGTTGAGTGAATAACAAGTCTCTTGTCTCCTTGAAGCACCAAAAACTGGAAGTGGAGCTGTGGCTTAAGTGGTAGAGCTCTATTCTTGAGTGAAAAATCTAAAAGACAGCTTCCAGGCCTCGAGTTCAAGTCCCAGGACTGGCACACCAAATGTACATATCCCAGAACACACAGATGCGCATGCCTGCTTGCTGTTGTGTGTAAGATGGCACCTGCCACTTCCCCTTTCCTTCCCTTTGCTTTCCTTCTTTCTTCTCTTCAAGCCTTGACCCAGACACTTCCAAGTTTTTCCCAGCTTACCTTCACCCAGGTTAGAGTTCTCCTTTCAATTCCTACCACACAACCAGGCAGTGATTGCTGCCAGTCTTCTCTTCCTCGAGTGTCTGGGGCCTAGACTGTGAGCTTCTGAAGGACTGGGACCCCTTCTCTTGTCTCCGTGCCTGGCCTGGCCTCTTCTTCCAGGCCTGTGTGTTGCGAGAATGCATGTTTCCTTCCTTCCTCTTCTCCATTTCGTCTCCTGCAGAGCCTTCAGTGTCTGGCTCACTGGGAAGCTTCTGGGTTTCTACAAGTTAACCATGCTGTTGTCTGTCTCCAGGCTAGGCCCCACCCAGCTGAAAATTTTCACCTGTGAATACTGCAACAAGGTCTTCAAGTTCAAGCACTCGCTGCAGGCCCACTTGAGGATCCACACCAACGAGAAGCCGTACAAGTGCCCCCAGTGCAGCTACGCCAGCGCCATCAAGGCCAACCTCAACGTGCACCTGCGCAAGCACACGGGGGAGAAGTTCGCCTGTGACTACTGCTCTTTCACGTGCCTCAGCAAGGGCCACCTCAAGGTGCACGTGGAGCGCGTGCACAAGAAGATCAAGCAGCACTGCCGCTTCTGCAAGAAGAAGTACTCAGATGTGAAGAACCTCATCAGGCACATCCGGGACACCCACGACCCGCAGGACAAGAAGGTGGAGGAGGCCCTGGACGAGCTCCGCCTGATGACCAGGGAAGGCAAGCGACAGCTGCTCTACGACTGCCACATCTGTGAGCGCAAGTTCAAGAACGAGCTGGACCGCGACCGCCACATGCTGGTCCACGGTGACAAGTGGCCCTTTGCCTGTGAGCTCTGTGGCCATGGGGCCACCAAGTACCAGGCGCTGGAGCTGCATGTCAGGAAGCACCCCTTTGTGTACGTGTGCGCCATATGCCTCAAGAAGTTCGTCAGCTCCATCCGGCTGCGTGCCCATATCCGAGACACGCACGAGGCCGCCCAGGAGGCCTTGGTCTTCACCAGCTCCATTAATCAGAGCTTCTGCCTCCTGGAGCCTGGTGGGGACATCCAGCAGGAAGCCTTGGGGGAGCAGCTGCAGCTGGCAGCAGACGAGTTTGTGTGCCAGGGAATTGATGTGCTTAAAGGGGAGGCTTGCTCCAAAGAGGCCCGGCCGGAGGAGGGCCAGAAGGAGCTGGAGACCCCCATGGCAGCACCCATCCCAGCCATGCCCTTGGCCACCTCCCGGGAGGAAGTTACTGCCCTGCCGCCCTGCAAGCTGGAAACCTCCGCGGTGTCCTCAGACCTTCCCTCTCTCTCTGTGGTCTCTGATGACTTCCTGTTGAAAGATGATACCGCCTCCCCAGAGGCGCACGCTGCTGACGGCGGGGCCTTGGACACCCAGCAGGAACACTCAGCCCAGACTCAGGGTGAAGAAGTCACACTGTTGCTGTCCACTGCCAAAAGTACTGCTCCGAACCATGAGGCCCAGAGTGCCGAGAGCCCTCCGGGTGAAGTCCCACCAGCCACTGAGCCAGATCTGAGCGGGTGTCTCAGGTCCGACCTAGCCCAGGCCTCAGACCTCCTCCCTCCAGGGGCTGGAGGTGGGGACATTGGCACGTGTCAACCTGACTCCTCCAAATCTGCCTCTGAGCACCGGTCTGGCAGCACTGCATTTATGAAGGTTCTGGACAGTCTTCAGAAGAAGCAAATGAACACTAGCCTGTGTGAGCGGATCCGGAAGGTCTATGGAGACCTGGAGTGTGAATACTGTGGTAAGGAAAGGCAGTGCCACGGATGGAGCACCCCCTCCCCACAGCTCCATCCATTCCTGCCGGGCTGTGTCATCGTGGGGTCCACTGGAAAGAACAGGCTACCGGCCTCCTCTCTGGTAGATAGACACAGGGCCCCCGTGTTACAGGGAGCTGTTGGAGTCTGTGGGGACCTCCAGGATGCCACACAGTCGACCATGTTGGCATGGTTGTCTGGGCAGGCTGAGGGTTGCCCACAACCTCTATCAATTTCTCACCTGAGAAGAATCTTTCTTTTGGTATGTAACAAGTGTCCAGTTGAGTTTCAGCCATGGCCACGTTGTAGCTGAGCAGAGGGGGCCTGGAAATGGCTGCAGGAAGGTCCAGAGCAGCTCCTGCAGCTCGGAGTGAGACCTCAGCCTCTCTGTCTCCCAGGACGGAGGGAAGGCCAGCTCCAGACCCGCATCCGGGGAGAGTGAGCAGGGTCTGGAGCCTCTTCCCCCGAGCAAGTGCAGTGTTGTATTGGACACCATACCTGGTCCTCAGTCAACATGTCTTCTTCCTTCTTCCCCTAGCAAGCCTGGGGTCACTCCTCATGTTTGTAACCTGACACACTGGAAAAGTACTTTCCAGACAGGAATGCGGGAGAGAGTGGAGGGCGACCCAGACAAGCATGAGAAGGAGATAACTATGAGCAGCTCAAAAGCGATGATAATTAGAAAAAAAAGTCAAATTCAGTCTGAGAGAAAATTCCTTGTTCTCATGTGAAAATATTTTTTTAGGCAAACTTTTTTGGTACCAAGTGCATTTTGACATGCATGTCCGCACCCACACCCGGGAACATCTGTATTATTGCTCCCAGTGCCATTACTCCTCCATCACCAAAAACTGCCTTAAACGCCATGTCATTCAGAAACACAGTAACATCTTGCTGAAGTGCCCCACGGACGGCTGTGACTATTCGACTCCAGATAAATATAAGCTGCAGGCACATCTTAAAGGCCACACCGAACTGGTAAGTAGCAAGCCCAAGCGGGACCCCATCTCCCTGCGTGCTCAAGGCTTTCTGAGTGAAGCCTGTGATGGTGTCCCCACTGCAGGTCACCTGGGTGTGAGCCCCCAGTCCTGAAAACCCAGAGAGGGCCTTCTCGCTGCAGGTTCTTCACTTTCCTGGGCTTCACTTCCCAACAAGAGGCTCCCATGCATTGAAAAAAGAGAGTAAAGAAACTGACAGTTTGTCACTGTCTCATGAAGGCCATAGAGGAAAGATGTTCAGAATAGAAGTGAAGCATGAATTTTGTAAATGGCATTTTAAAGAATTATTATTAACATGCTGGGTACCAGTGGCTCATACCTGTAGTCCTAGCAACTCAGGCTGAGATCTGAGGATTGCAATTTGAAGCTAGTCCATGAGACTTTTATCTCCAGTTTATTGGCAAACAAAACAAAACAAAAAACAACTGGAGCTGTGGCTCAAGTGGTAGAGAACTAAAAGAGCACTTGAGCAAAAAGCTCATGGACAACACCAAGGCCCTGAGTTCAGGCACACACACAAAAGAATTATGAAAAACAGGGACATAACAGCTCCCACTAAATGTGTGGAGGATCGATGAGATGAGATTAGATGACTATGGTCTGAACAGCACTTGGTGTGTGGTAGCAGTACAGTGGATGTGGATTGGGGTTGTTGCAAACACTGATAGAAAGTGCCTTGTGGAAGCACTTCCGTTTACAAAGTGACACATTAATCAGGTGGTAAGGATATTCACTGTGGTCTTATCTGTCCGTTCTTTGGTGGGAGATCATGGAGCATAGTGAATGCATGTTTGTTTTTGCCTGACTCTGGAGGCTGACCCCCGAGGGTGCTTTGAGGTATCTTAAAGTCTTGCAGAGCACACCTGCTCCAGGTGTGGCGCCGTGGTCACTGCATGCTGTGTTACACCACAGACAGCGCAAAAGGAAGCTTCGGAAGTTGGCTGTGCCACCATGCCTTTTCTGGAACAGAAATCACCACCTTAGTGGTTTGCTGCCGAGGTGCAGTCGGGTGTTTGGGTGTGGTGGTGAGGGAGAGGGTCAGCACGAGCTTGGAGGCTGGATTCTGAATTATCACACCGCCTTCCGCACCCTCACTCTGCAGCCTGGACAGGCACGTCATTTACGAGAGCTGACAGCCTTCTTGAAAAATATATACTTAAAATTCAGTTTAGATATACACACATGCATACGCATGTCCACACATATATACATGCATATGTGTGTGCCTGTGTATTTACACATGTATTTATACATATGTGCACCTGTGGTATTTGTACATACGTGTATATGTCTATATATCTCTTGTAGTTGTTGAGAGAAAGTAGGATGCTCTAGAAAAAGGGCTTGGCACAGTGCTTGTCACACCCTTGACTCTGCATCCAAGCTCTAGCCTATCATCTGGCACTTCCTAGATACATTTCTCTCCTTTCCTGTTTGTGGCTCTTCTTTTCCTTTCCCTGCCCGTCTTCACTTCCTCTCCTTGCTCTCCTCTCTTCCTCCATATGAAAGCATGGCTTGTTATCCCTTCTGTAATTGCTGTTAGGTTTGCGCTGCTTTCCAGTTCTCTTAGGGCAGGGAATGCTGAGGAGGGAGAATTCATTCATGCATACTTGCTGGTATGTTCTGTGATATTGAGGGAGTGAAACCCCAAGGAGAGCGTTGAAGTGGAGTGGTGGGGGAAGCAGACTGCTGACTTTGAACACTGGCTTTGCCTCCTAACCTGTGCTTAGCCTTGAGATGGATCACAAGGCCTGTCTGAGCCTCAGTTTGCCTTGGCTCAGATAGGCAATATGGAGTTGCCCATTGTCCAATTAGCCTGGTAGGGAGTGAGCACTATTGACTATTACTATTATTTATCTTGCTTACTCTCTTGAAACATGCTGCTCCAGCTTTATATGTTTTGAATGTAGGCTAAATGAAGGGCAAGAACAAGGTCATTGCCAGTAGACCTTGCTCCCTTTTGCCTCACAGTCAGGATTTGCTTGCTTGTGTGTGTTTCAGGGTTTCTGGCTCAGCCCAGTATTTTCTTCTTTTTTTTTTTTATTGTGCAAATACTGTACAGAGCGGTTACAATTACATGGGCAAGATAATGAGTACATTTCTTATCAAGCATTGTAGCCTCCTCCTTTGTTTCCCCTTCCCATCCCATCCTTCCCCTGCCTCCCCCAACCTTCCCCCCCACCACCAAAGTTGTAAAGCTCGTTTTCGTCATAACGACTTGTATATCTCATTGTTGCAATGGGTCCACCTGTATCCCTATTTAAACGATTTGTTTTTTCCCTTCCCCTCCACAAATTATACCAACATCATATACAGTGAAAGCAGGGGTTATACCTTGGGGGAGGGACAAACAAAGCAACAAAGAAATCATCTTATAAATGTGTTATAAACAATCGTATGAAAGAAAAAACATTTGGAATATATATCTTAGGGTTCATTTCCCTAACATCAACTTATCTGACCTTTTCTGCTTGACTCAGACATATACTAGTTATTGAAAATAAGGGAAACCATGGGGCCTATGATTCTTTGGGCCTGGCTTACTTCACTTAATATAATTTTTTCCAAGCCTTTCCATTTCCTAACAAATGGGGCAATGCCATTCTTTCTGATGGAGGCATAGAATTCCATTGTGTATATATACCACACTTTCTTGATCCATTCATCTACTGAGGGGCATCTGGGTTGCTTCCATATCTTAGCAATGGTAAATAAGGCTGTAATAAACATAGTCGTGCTGATAGCTTTAGTGTGGTCTTGTTTGTGAACATTTGGGTAAATGCCCCAAAGTGGGATTGCTGGGTCATAGGGGAGCTCTATGTGGAGTCTTTTGAGGAACCTCCAAAGTATTTTCCAAAGTGGTTGAACAAGTTTATACTCCCACCAACAATGCAGTAAGGTTCCCTTCTGTCCACATCCCCTCCAGCATCTGTTGTTATTAGAGTGCTTGATTATAGCCATTCTAACTGGGGTGAGGTGGTAGCTCAATGTTGTTTGGATTTGCATTTCTTTTATGGCTAGAGTGGTTGAACATTTCTTCATGTGTCTATTGGCCATCCTTCTTTCCTCTTCAGAGAAATTTCTCTTTAAGTCTTTAGCCTACTTATTTATTGGGCAGTTGTTTCTTTGAGGATTTGTTGTTGGTGGATTTAATTTTTTGAGTTCCAGGTATATTTTAGATAGGAGACCCTTGTCCGATGTATGGCTAGTGAAGATCTTTTCCCACTCCATGGCTTTCTGTTGATCTTGCTAGCTATGTCCTTTGTCATGCAGAAGCTCTGCAATTTCATGCCATCCCATTTGTCCATCCTTTCTTTGATTTGTTGTGTTTCTGGGTCTCTATTAAGAAAATTTGGGCCTGGGCCAAGGTGACCTAGGGTTTCTCCTATTCCATCCTGTAATGTTTTCAGAGTGTCTGCTTTGACTCTGAGGTCTTTGATCCATTTGGAGTTGATTCTGGTGCAGGATGATATATAAGGATCTAGCTTTAGTTTTCTACAAGTAGTTAACCAATTTTGCCAGCATAATTTACTGAAGAGGCTGTCTTCCATTCAATTTTTTTTAGCTCCCTTATCAAAGATTAGATGGCTATAGGTCTGCAGGTTCATTTCTGGGTTTTCAATTCTATTTCATTGATCCTGAGGTCTGTTCTTGTACCAGTACCAAGCTGTTTTGATTACTATGGCTTTATAGTAGAGTTTGAAATTTGGTATTGATATTCCTCCAGCAGTGTTCTTTCCGTTGAGGAGGTTTTTGCTATTCGGGGTCTTTTATTGTTCCATATGAATTTTTGGATTGCCTCTTCTATTTCCTTGAAGAATGAGGTTGGAATTTTGATAGGTATGCGTTGAATTTGTAGATAGCCTTGGGAAGTATTGCCATTTTCATGATGTTGATCGTTCCAATCCAGGAGCATGGGAGTTTTTTCCACTTTGTAAGTTCTGTTTTGATTACCTTTTGCAGGTTTTTAAAGTTTTCATCATAGAGGTCCTTCACTTCTTTGGTTAAGTTAATTCCTAGGTATTTTATTTTTTGTGGGGCTATTACGAATGGAGTTGCTTTCCTAATTTCAGCCACACTTTTCTTATTGTTGGCATACAGAAAAGCCATTGATTTTTGAGGGTTAATTTTATACCCTGCTACTTTGCCAAAGTTTTGAATCAGCTTGAGTAATTTGGGAGTGGAGTCATGGGATTCTTTAAATACAAGATCATGTCATCTGCAAAGAGGGAGAGTTTTACTTCTTCTTTCCCTATTTGGATTCCCTTTATGTCTGCATCTTGTCTTATTGCTGTAGCGAGGCATTCTAATTCTAAATTGAAGAGAAGTGGAAAGAATGGACATCCTTGTCTCATTTCAGCCCAGTATTTTCTACCTCTGAAGGCTGCTGTTGACCTTCTTGGCTAGCTACAGGGGTCTCTCAGTCACAAGGAAGGTGTCAGGGAAATGAACTAAGATCTTTGACTGTGCACTCACATTCCGCCACACTTGCACGCCATCTGAAGGAATGTTGAGTGAGCGGTCCCATGTTCTGCCCCATGTCCTGCTTGGAGGACTGCATGAATACTTCCTGTGCTGCCTTAGTGAATGTCTGCAGGACAAGCACAGCTTGCTACGTGCAGGAGTGGGGTGTATCAGCCTTGTACCAGAAGATGCCATCCTTACTTCTCATCAGCACTCACGCTTTCTTAGAAGTTGTTAAAGTTCAGTTCCTATCTTTCCCTCACTGGTACTTGTCATTCTTGTAATTGAGACACTTGTAAAGGTAAAAGAAGGAGCTGCTGTTGCTTCTGGAGCTACAGGCTTGTCCTCTGCCTGCCAGGCAGTAGGGTTTTATCTGCAAGTTGAAAGGGCTTTTACATTGTTGGGAATAAACAGGTAATGAGGCTGGCTGTGTGTGGGGTTGGGGAGACTGTCCTCTGAGGCTGATGAGCAAGTCTGGGCTAGGAAAGGGGACAGAGGAAATACCCAGCAGAGTTC